AGGCCAGACCCAGGGAAACTCCCTTTTCATCTGGTCAGGGTTGTGACCTGAGTAAGACTTTTGTAACTTAAGAGTGATGCTTCTCACCCTAATGCTACCTCATTAACACAACAAACATAACCGATTCAATCCTCTTTAACATAACTTGCCTTGTCCTGTGGTCCTGTGGGATAAAGCAGTGGACCACAGGGTCCATGGTTCAAACTCATCAGTCTTTCCTTGGAAACCCTATGCTGGGTTGCTGTGAGTCAGACCCGACTTGATGGCACTTAACAATAACCCTGTCTCAAAGACTTGGATTTAGAAAACCAAAAGGGAAGAACATGCTCAGTATTTCTCAAGATGAAAGAACTTAAGAAAAAAATTCAAGCCTTGGCTTGCAATACTGAAGGATTTTGGGGGCAAAATATTGAATACGCAGAAAGCATCAAACAAAACAGTATGGAAGGCATACACAGAGTCACTCTACCCCCGCCCCCCCCTCCAAAAAAAGCTCAATTTTTCAGCCATTTCAAGAGGTAGCATATGATCAGCAGCCAGTGGTCCTGAAGGAAGAAGTCCAAGGTACACTGAAAGCATAAACAAAGAACAAGGCTCCAGGAATTGATGGAATATAAATTGAAATCTTTCAACAAACTGATGTAGTACTAGAAGCATTCACTCATCTGGCCCACTGATGGAAGAGACCATATTTGTGCCCATTCCAAAGAGAAAATGCAGTAATCATCAAACAGAACTATTAATATCACATGCAAGTAAAATTTTACTGAAGATAATTTAAAACTGGCAGCAGCAGTACATATACAGGGAACTTCCAGAGGTTCAAGCTGGATTCAGATGAAGAACCTATACATGGACAAAGAGGCAGTCATTTGAACAAAACAAGTGGACAACTGAACGGCTTAAAATCAGGAAAGGTGTTTATCTGCATTGTATCTTTCACCATACTTAGTATGTATGCTGAGCAAATAATCTGAGAAACTGGGTTATAAGAAGAATGTGACATCAGGATGGGAGGGAAGGCTCATTAACAACCTGTGATACACCTTGCTTGCTCAAAGCAAAAAGTACTTAAAATACTTAGTGATGAAAACCAAAGACCACACCCTTCAATATAGGTTTTACCTCAATGTAAAGAAAACAAAAATCCTTATCACTGTACCAATAACATCGTGACAAATGGAAAAGAGATTGAAGTTCTCAAAGACTGTATTTTACTAGGATCCACTGTCAACACTCATGGAAATAACAGTCAAGACATTAAATGATGTATTGCATTAGACAGATCTGCTCTACAAGACCCCCCTGTAAAGTGTAAGAGCAAAGATGTCAGTTTGAGGACTAAGTGTGTCTGACCCAACATGTGGTATTTTCAGTAGTCTCATATGCATGTGAAAGTTGGATATGAATAAAAGGAAGACTATAAAATAATTGATGGATTTGAGTTACAGTATTGGAGGAAAATACTGAAAGTATCATGGACTATCAGAAAAACAAACAAATCTGTGTTGTAAAAAGTACAGATAGAATGTTCTTTGGAAGCCTGGCTAGCCAGACTTTGTCTCATGTTGTTATTGTTGCTATGTGACGTGGAGTCGGTTCCAACTCATAGCAACCCTGTACAGGGTTTCTGAGGCTGTAAATCTTTATGGGAGCAGAAAGCCTCCTGTTTCTCCTGCAAAACACCTGGTAGTTTCGAACCGCTGACCCTGCGATTAGCAACCCAATTCGTAACCACTACGCTACCAGAGTTCTTTAGGACATACTAGCATGGATCAGTCCCTGGAGAAGGACATCATCATACTTTTGCTAAAGTGGAGAATCAGTGAAAGAAAGGAAGGCCCCAATCAGAAGAATTGCCACAGTGGCAGCAGCAATCTGCTCAAGTGTAACAATTGGGAGGATGGTGCAGAACCAGGCAGTGTTTCATTCTGTTGTGCACAGTCTCTATGAGTTGGAATCTTAACAATAACAGTAGCACCTAACACCAACACCACCAGCAACTCTGCCTCTCATCAACTGGAGGCAGAGGTTACGATTTACAACACATCACAAAATAAAAAAGTAATTGCACAATACTAGGAATTGTGGTCTAGCCAAGTTGACACAGTATGAGGGGACACAACTTAATCCATGATGCCCACTTTGACTTGACTTGACTGATACTATGGAATTGTTTTAACTAGTTAGGACAATGCTCTTTACTGTGGCTCTTTCTACTTTATTTTGTATAGTCAAGTATAACTCTTTGTTCTGTACTTACATATAATGTAAATTATTTTTATGGGCCTTTGTTTATGTGCAACAGTACCACGTGTGTGATAATTTGTTTTAAATTACTTTAATTATGCATTATATCACTTAGTAATGAATTGTTTTAACGCTGTCAATCATGGTTTATATGTTTGTAGGAGTCAATAAGCATGCATTCGTTTTGTGGTGGTTGTTAAGTTCTGTCTAGTCAGTTCCAACTCTTAGCGACCCCGTTTGAGGTTTCCAAAGATAAGCTGGGAGGTTTGAACTGCCAACCTATCATTAACTGTCCAGTCAGTGCTTATCAGTTTTACAGAACTAATATTTCAGTGATAGCATAAATTCTCTTTCGAGTTTGAGCCCATTGTTGAGGCTTCTGGCTTAGTTCTTATCTCACTGAAGGCCTTCTCTTTCATTGACCCTCTACTTTATCAAGCATGAATGATGTCCTTCTCCAGGAACCATCCCTCCTGATAACATGTACTGGTAGCATGTTATCAGGAGGGATGTTTCCTGGAGAAGTAATCCTTGTTAAGTGCCACTGACCCATAGCGAACCTTGTACAGGGTTTCCAACCACAACCGACCTTGTGGTTCAAACAACTTCGCAGTTCAATGCATTAGCCCACAGCGCCATACCAGTACTCCATGAAGTAGACCGTAGAGATAATCAAATAGCAACATATGAGGAAACCAAGACCTAAAAGGTTTGGTAGTTTATGCTATGACAAAGGCAGTAAGTGAAAGGCAGCAGAATAGCATCTATCTAGATCTTCTAATTACAAATCTAGCAGTATGTATAGACAAACTTTTAACCCAGAAGTAAGGAAAGAAATTTTAAATAATATGTAATGGTAACCTTTTTTTTTCTTTTAAGCATTTTTATTTCTTCTGTCTTAAAGAACAGAATTGATTATTGTACCATAGTATCTTTATCTATATGCCCTTTGTATTGTACATATAAAAATATGTGAATAAAAAGCCACTGGCTGGATCTGGAACTTAATGTCAAACTCAGTCATGATGCAAATTTGAAAAATTAAATCAATGTATGTTTACATAACCAATTGTTGTTGCTAAGTGCTGTCGAGTCATTACCGAGGAGCACCTGGTGACTTGGAACCAGTAGCATATTGGTTCAGACTGACCTTTTGGTCCAGCATTCATCCTGTAGTGCAACATCAGAACTTTACATAACCAATACAGAGAGAAATTTTATGATACTGTAGTTTTGTTTTTGATTAGAAAGACTTATTGAAGTTCAGAATAATATTATGAAGGCACTTAGAAATGTAAAATACCAAAAATATTTATGGGTGGTATGTCTTAATTCTTGAGTAGTTGTATAAAAATAAAATATTCATGACACATTTATACCAGTATAGAACTTTAGCTTTTTGTATAAGAGCACCACCTACAGGCTTCTGGGAAATCTGGATACAGAATCTTAAAGCCTAATGAAATAAAAACTTAATAAAATTCGTTTAAGTTTTTTTCCTATAACTAGTTTATCAATTTGTTTATAAATTTCCATGTTTTTATTAAAAGCTCTCACTGTTGTTAAATCTCAGCTAGTATTGAGTGCCTATATGCCAGTACTATTGTAATTCTAAGTTAAATACAATTTAACTCAAAATTGTAATATTTTCTCTAATGCAGATGAATCTTTTCATGAAAGTAATTTTTTACAGTCTGAGGCGGGGGTGGTAATTGGTTTTGTTTGTTTATTTTTATGTTTATATCCATTTATTCTGGATTGCATTGGCAAGAGATAATTTTTTTAAAAGATAAATAACTCAGGGTGCCCTTTTCATTAAATTACTGTGATAACTCATTAGAACAGGTAGAAGCAAAACTCCAATATTTTATTGTTAATAACCTCTTAAGATAGAATTAAATTTGCATAAATTTAGTCTCTTTTTAAAGTATCATTTGTTAAATTTTATGGTTTTTTTTTTTTTTTTTTTTTATCCATTGTTCTTGAAAATCAGGCTATTGTCATGAGTCTGAGTTATGGATTAAGTTTAAGAGAATTCATTTTTTTGGTAAGAGAAATTAAAAATTGTGAAGTTTAGGCTTTGCATAGACAATGAGATGTCTGCCAGGCCCCTGAATGTACACCCTTATGTTCTTGTGTCATGAGTTTCTATTTTCTTTGAGTGATTCAAAACAAGATCCTTTTGGTTATCTACCCGAATTCCAGTGTAGACCCATTTTAGGCATGAACTTTTTTTCTGTAGCAAAATGTGCTTTTAAAACTGTGATTTCAAGTTTTCTTTAGGGGGTGGGTTATTCTGTAGAAATAAGGATTGACTCCAACAATAGCAAATGCAGCATAGTGCTCCTAAGCATCTAAACACAATAGTTCAATAAATGAACTTCAAATGGTTTGTAATTAAGAAAACAAATTTAAAAGGTGAATTTTGAAGATGCATAGCTAGATAGCTCAGTCTCCATGGCCAAAGTTAGCAGTCCTGACTTTTAAACTGTTATTCAAAGATCCAATCTGGCAATGTCTTTGCCTACTCAAAGTGTATAGTTAGGATTAGAGACTTTGGCAAAAAGGGAAGGAAAGAACATATCTTAATAGAATAATAGAAGTTCCTTGTGGTTGATAATACCATATTTTATTGTGTATGATTTGATGTCTGATGTTGGTTTGCAGTTTTTTTTTTAGTAAACACTAATTTACTTAATGTTGTGCTTTAAAGTATAATAATTAGTCAGGGGTTTTTGGCTATCTTCCAGCTTGTGGAGAGACTCCAGAACAAATTCGAGCACCAAGTGGTATAATCACGAGCCCAGGCTGGCCCTCTGAATATCCTGCCAAAATCAACTGTAGCTGGTTCATCAGGGCAAAGCCAGGGGAAATCATTACTATAAGGTAATTCCCACATATCTTTATTCAACATGAAGTAATATAAAAAGAAACTTCTTAGAAAGTAATAAATTATGCCTATCAGTTCCACCCTACAATAAGAATAATGACCCATCCTTTACCTACTGTTAAGTGTGTGTGTTTTGTTCTAGCCCACCTTTCAGCAAAAGGTACATATTTGCCAGCTGGCTTATTAGGATTGACGTTGTAATCATTGGCCATAGGACATACAAAACTCACTAATCCACTTGGGAGTTTAGCCCATGACCTTAGCCTCATTAGTAGAGTTAGTTACCTAAATGAGTTTTAAAATATGGATGTTTGTCTTTATCTGTTTCTATGTCTGTATGTGTATTAAATTGGAAACAAGTTAATAATGGTTAAGCTACTATTTAGGAAAAGCTTTTTTTTATAACTGCTCAAGAGAAAATTTGTTAAGAATACAAAATGAAAGACATTCTTGGGGAAAATAACCATGAATCTTTAAGATTCTAAACTAAATACACAAATAAGGAAGACTAAGATGAATGATAAAATCCTTTAGTGAATTAGTGAATTAGTGACAGGAAAAAACCTTGCGAATAAGGTATTATTGAGAAAAATTTCAACTAGATACTGCTTGCTTAAGGGAATTATACCAAAGCTATTTAGTGTGTGTGTGTGT